TATATATATATATATAAAATTATAATATATGTAACTTCTTTTCTATAGGACACAAACTGATGATGATTCAAAACATCATGGAAAAGTTAAAACAAGTCTTGACCAAGAAGATACAGTTGAGCCAGTTAATTTACCAAACATACCTTTACCTATATCTTCTTTACCTAATTTCAACTTTATGCCATCTACTAATACAAAGATGATAGATAAAACTAATACAGACAAAGAAGATAGCTTCACTTTCGCAAGTCCTATAAGAGTAACAAATACCACAAAGAATTTAAAATCTATCAACAACTTCACATTTAGTAGCCCAATTAATGCCGATAAGCAATTACTTGACAAATCTAACAATTCAGGTTCGCCTTTAAAAAGAATTGGTGTCAAATCCAATACATCAGATGACTATATACCTCCAGTAACACAGAACTTTATCTGGTCCGGTTCATCTACAGCTCCTAGATTAAAAGAAAAAGTAAAAAATAATGATAGCATTGTTCCTGCTACTTCGAATGAATTAAAATCAGGAAGTGTCATGGATATTCTTTGTTCTAAATCTAGTACAACAAAATCTGAAAAATCGGGTGAATCGAAGATACAATTAAATTTAGGCAAAGAATCAATCAATAATAAAACAAATACGGCTAACCTAGACACAAATAATGACGATAATATAAAAAATGTTTCAAATTCTCAATCTAATACGCAGGATATTTCAATTATGTGGGAATGTTCTGAATGTTTGTTTAAGAACAATAATACGGAAACACAATGCTTTGCTTGCAAAGCTACTAAACCAAGTCTTAAAGATAAAAAGACTTCTGAATCGTTAATATCAAGTAATGTCGGTGAACCAAAAACTACAGTAAATGATCATTTTGGATCGCAGTTTAAACTTTCAAGTAATCAGTGGGAGTGTACATCATGTTTTGTAAGAAATAAACAAACTGATACTAAATGTATTGCGTGTAATGCGCTTAAACCAGACGCAAAGCAAGAAACTAAATCTGAGAAATGTTCTAATTGCAAGTTACATGATTCTGAAAAATCTGCTACTTGTTCTTTTTGCGATACGTCTAAATCAAGTACATCAAAAATTAATCCACAAGGAAATATGAACCCTACGGTTAATACAGATATTTCTGTAAGTCAGAATACAACCAATGTATCAATGAAAAAAAATGAAAGTCCAGATAAATTAAATTCAGACAAAGATACGTGGGAATGTCCTTGTTGTATGGTTAGAAATCTTATGTCCATTGATTCTTGTCCATGTTGTAATACAGCTAAACCTAATGCTGGAATTACAACCAAGAATACTTCATTATCTTCAAATAGATTTGGAGACAAGTTTAAAAAACCTGAAGGTGCATGGATCTGTAATACTTGCATGTTACAAAATGATCCACAAATTACTACATGTGTAGCTTGTGGTAATGCAAAGCCAGGCTCGAAGAAACCAGATAATTCTACTTCAATAAATACTAATTCCAGTTTACAGTTCAATTTTGATATGCCTGCAAATACTAGCGGTTTTAAATTTGGTATTGACAAAGCTGATCAAGGAAAGACTGATAGTACAATATCTACAAACGGTTTTAAATTCGGCGAAGCTCACAAAAATAATGAAATTGGTCAATTTACATTTGGTATCTATAAAGAAGAAGCAAAAACAAACGAAACACAAAAATCTGGAAATAATATCTCTTTGACCTCGGGAAGCAGTTTTGGTATTCCAGTTAATACAAATGTTGGCGAAAAGACTGATACAAAGCAAGATTCAGAAAACACGGGAAAAAATTCAGCACCGTTATTTTCATTTGGTATAGCTAAAAGTGAAAGTGGTGGAGTAGAAAGTAATAAACAATTTGTAAATGTAACAACTTCTACAGTAACCCCATCTACCTTTACGTTCAATGCACCTAAATCTACGGTTGCACAATCAAATATAAAAGAAGAAAAACAAATCCCTTTGCTAGAAAATACTGTAACAGAAACTTCAAAATCAAGCAGTAATGAATTTACTGCTGTTAATACAAGTACAATATCCTCAATAATTCAAAGTAGTGTTCAAGAACCTAAATCAACTGCTACATTTTCTTTTGGTGTACCAAATAGCACAATCGCAATGACTAGTAGTACTTCTACAACTGTGGTATCAAGTCTTCCATCTTCTACTCAATCTTCCTTTACATTTCCCGAATCAAAACCAAATACGCAAACATCAATTGTACCAACCTTTGGTCAAATATCAACGTCAGCTCCAACTTCTAATTTATCTAATACCTTTACATTTGGAGATAGTAAAACAAGAGAAGAATCCTCAATAACCAAGACTTTTAATACATTACCAAATCCCTCTGGAAGTTCATTATTCAAATGCTCAAGCATTTCTAGTAGTGTATTATTTGGTAATAATGATACAAAAACTGCACCAACATTTGGACAAACTTCAACTGAAGATAACAAACCTACATTTGGAGCTGCAAGTACAAGTAAATCTTCGACTTTTGCAGTCACAGAGAATAAAGTACCAATATTTGGTAATACAGAAAATAAACCTACAGTTTTCGGTTCAACTGACCCAAAAATAGGCGTATTTGGAAGTACAGATAATAAACCAGCATCATTATTCAATCCACCAACTGCACTCCAAACACCAGCTGCAACACCAACACCTTTCGGTTTCGGAGCACCGTCAACTGCACCACTTTTTGGATCATCTGTTACTCCCGTTTTTGGTAACAATATAGTATCATCTACTACTGAGTCAACACCTAGTATATTTGGATCTACCTCAAAGTCAAATGAAACTGGCACATCAGCAAATTCAAACATATTTACATTTGGTACTACTCCTGCCCAACCAATACCAAAACCAACTGATTTCAATTTTTCTACAAATACCAATCCTGCTGAATCGACTCAGAAACCATTATTTACATTTGGTAGCCATTCATCTATCCCGCAAAGTAATAATTTATTTGGAAATGGATTCAATAATCCAAGTGCATCAACTAATTCTTCCGGATTTACGTTTAATGCACCTAAGCCAGAAACATCAGCATTTGCTCAATCTACCAATCCAAGTCCAATTTTTGGTACATCACAATCTGGTACACAGAATCAAGTGCCGTCGTCATTTTCATCTACTCCTTCAAATGCGGGATTTAATTTCGGATCTACTGCACCAGCTGCTACGTCGTCAGGAGGTTTTAATTTTGGTGCTGTAAGTACAATAAAACACACGAATGTATCGAATAAATTAAGTCGATATAATTAAATTTCAATTAATTTTATTAAAATTTTTCAGGCACCTGCTTCTGCACCATCTACAGGATTTAATTTTAGTGTTCCTAACACTACACCAACGTTTGATCCTAATACTCCACCGACATTTAACTTCACTGGTGGTAATGCACCCACAGTATTTAAGTATGTATAAATTACGAAAAATTATTTATTATATTAATTACACAAATTAAATTGTTACATATTATCGTACTTTATTTTAGTGCAACACCTACTCAAACACAACGGAAAATCAAGAAAGCCATTAGGAGAATGCGGTAGAGGGCAAGTAACACACGACCATAGTTGCATGTACACTCGGATGCATTTTTTTTATCTATTTCATGCAACCGCGTGTATGAATATGTTCTTGAATATATATACTGAAGTTACAGTATGATACAATGAAAATATCATATACCAATCAATGGTCACATCAATGTGGTGGTATACCAAGCATTTTATGTAATATATTAATTTGTCAATAGGATATGCTTGCGTACAGCCACTTGTGTTCTACAGGATCTGTAAATTATAAATTATTTAAATTATACAATAATAACAAATGATACTTTGATGTTGGCATGAAGCCATTTTTGAAACTAAGACAGATCATAATGCCATTGCATTAATAATACCTTACCCAAACAAGACGTGCGTACTGACGTGACAAATTAATTTACTGAAATGAGAGAATACCTCGATAAAGAAACCTAATAAAGCACTAAATATGTGCAATTTATTGAGGATAACGAGTAGGAGTGTATCCCTCAGGTAAGTACAAGTCGTTCACAACTCGTAACAATGTTTTTGTAATTAAGAAGCAAGAGGGACTAAACATTGATTAAAAACTATTTTTTTTGTGGTGAAAAAAACGTTGCAATAAGTTGCAATGACTTTATTCTTATATTTGTATGTAAAAATCATTCTTACCTGACTAATTATTTTTAATAAATTTGGTACACAATTTTATATAGTCAGGTACACATTCTTAAAGGAGCTTAATAAACAAGAGATATGTGCTTAACTTTTATTCTTTTCTTCTATAAATTTTGACACGTTACGAGTATTGTGAATCGACTAAATATCAATGAAGTCCCACTGCGTATAGACATTAATTATATTTTCATTAGAATTTTGTGGACAGTTCTACAGTCTTTGTAGTACTAGTTCAAGAAAAATGTATCATATAAAAAAAAAATGGCATTCGGATAGTACAAAGTCACGATTACTGAACGGATTGCATTGAGTAGTCGAAATTGTATATTTTTTTTATATATTGAATGATTAATCCTATAAGAATATACTGAATGCCATTTTAATAGAATTAAATTATATAGTAATGTTGCGTGTTTTACCATAGAATGAATGAAAAACGAATCAAGAGGTATGTTGAATGGAAATAAATTATTATGGGACTTCTAAAGAGTTACTTTTTCTTTTATTACTAAATCAAATGTATTTTTATAGTAAGTTTCTAAAATTGTTATCGACTTTGTATATTATTGTTGCTTCTACTGTGTATATCACGAAAACGTATCACTCTGCAGCAAAAAAATATATTATATATTATAATAAAAAATATATTATAATAAAATTATATTATAATGAAATATAATAAAATTATAATATATTTTATTATAAAATTATAATATATTTTATTATGATAAAATATATTATAACAAAATTAATAGAATAGCATTAAAAAACTAAACTAATGGCTGGACTTTGAATAAAAAATACCATTATTCATAAGGTATACTTATTTTCAAGACAAATAATTTTTCTTTTTTAAAATATATTTGTTTCTTTCATAACATTTCTTATATTTTAATCACAGTGTTTATGAAATTATAAATTTTTACAATGAGTGCAATTTAGCCAAGAGTGATATTAATTTTTGTATATGTAAGTATAATAAAGTCGTTTTCAATATACTAAAGAACTATAAAAATAAATATTCTTTTTAGAAGTCCCTAAATGCAGAAAGTAGTTAGTTGGCGTGTTAATGATTAATGGATTAATATGAAATCATGCACGTCCTATTTAAGATTAGGATAGTTATATCTATAATGTTGGCTTAAAATTGACAGTAGCCAAGAATAACTCGGCACAAGACCCACCTTCTGCCATATAGGATATAGTAGATACATAGGTACAAAACAACTTTGTTACATGTTATTACTTTATATGTTGTGTAATTTACATTATAGATTTTAAGACATTTTTAGTTTCTGCATATATTATCAAAAAATAAAGATAATAGATAACAAAGAAACCTTGATTTCATGTTGATAATTTACAAATTGCATACTCTGCAAATGCCCTTCGTAGTTGTTTCTTATCTTACTAAAATAATATTGCTAAGTATGTAAAAAGATGTATCAACATAATTAATCAATTTTTTCTTTGTATAATTAAAATTAATCTACCGTTTAAACATAGAGCAAAATCTATAGCAGTTCAGTAATGGAAATAAACTAGTTAATACAGTACCTCTTAATGTTACAGTACCTCTTAATGTTGTCCTTTGTATAAAAGAAAAAAATCTTGTCTGCGAAGGGTTCTTCCGCACATAATTATATTGTTTAACTTAAAGAATTATAGCTTTGTATAATTACCAGCTGAAATACTAACCAATGGTAAAGTGAGGCTGCGCTGAGATATGTCTACGCTGCTGTCTTACACTGTGAACATTCTCTGTCGAGGCTGTGTCGTCCATTTGTCTATCTCCAGACAAATTTCCAAATTAATGAATATATCAAATGCTGCCTGAAAGAGGCGCAGTACCTTTGTATTAAATCTCGTATATGGCCTTAAAAACATAACGAGTGCGTGACGTAGATGTATTAACGATTGTACAGCAAATCATATTGGAATTGTTTTGTAGCAGTTTGTACTCTCCATTGCAATGTGTTTGCATAAATACTTGAAGAGCACTACATTAAAATCGTTCAACAATAGATATGTAACATCTCATGACTCATAGAATATTTGTCTTTGTATTTATTGTAATTGCTATAAATTTGAAATTACTTTTATAAAATTGTGTATTAATTCTTTAATATGATTGATTATATCTTAATGATAGCAACTTAATTGATATACAAAAATATGAAATATTTATTATTGTGATAAAGATAAATAATTTGCCTACGGAAAAGACTATTCATAAATTCAATAATACAATTTTTAAACAGTGTACAAAAATCCTGCGAGTTATGAGATGTAAAAGAATGAGTCAAATGTTCTGAGGCCTTATTATAATCTTAGTCCATGAAAATTATGTATTGTACTGAATTTACATGAATATCTGTAATGATTATATTGAGAATGTATTAATCAATGATCTAATGTTCACAAATGAGAGAGTTTGTTATGAAATAAGTCCAATGACTGCCTGTAATTAAATAAAATGTACATGGGAGAATGTTCACTGTATGCTTCAGGTGCTATGGAGATGTAATAACATTCTCATGACATGGTATAATGTTAGATAATATTGTGAAGGAGTATCGGTGTTTCTCAACCGATAAACCATTTTTAATTCGCTTATTTTTATTCGCACAAAGCATGAAAATGAAAAAGAAAATAGAAATTATGTTAAATCGCGCCAATATTTTATTTGAAGAAAAACATGAAAAGATAAAGATGTATTTGATTTATTTAAAAGTACGTAATAAACACGGGATTGTAATTAAAGTAATAATGTACATTACATAGAATGGAATTAGCATCTATTTGCAGAACGAATGTATAAATGTTATGATAAATGAAAAACTCGATAGCCTCATATTGTATAATTTATTGAATAAATGTGACGTTGCTTTAATGCGTAACATTTGCGATGACGAGGGCTATTGAGGGCTCATGTTGAGAAACACCGTGAATAGGATACATTCACGTTAACATTATTACCATTATTATTCTTAATACTATCCTCCGCTGTATCCATAATAATTATACTATACAGTACTAGGATATATGAAAAATATCAATCGAAAACAATGTTTAATTTTGGTTTACAATTTTATTTTGTAGCTAGTAAAATAAAAATTTTAGGAGGGCATTTAGATAATAATGCGAACCAAGGAGTTTTTAACCATGTACACTTATCGTGTAATGTAATAACGCTTTAAACTTTAATTTTCTTCTTAGTAAATAAAATGTACGGGGACAAAAAAAAAATGCGTGCAGTACTTTGTAAAAACCCTTTGGTTCACATGGAGAAAGTAATCTGAAAACGAATGTTAGAATTCAGTCGCAGTCTCGAATTCTTAGGTCAAATGTATTTGTTTCATGATTACATTTCACATTGCTTTTTGTTTCTGTATCAAGCTCACTCCTTGACAGTTCCTCAAAATATATAAAATAAGAAATCCATACTATAACTCACTATAATATTCGTGGTTTTATCATCCTGACAAACATATATATGTGACTGTTCATGTCTTTTAGTAAAAAAATATTTTATTTTAATTACATAGTAATATCCAAAATACAAAAAAAAGTAATCTTCTTTGAATAAAATTTAAGTGGGCAAAGTCTAATTATTTTTTCTATATTTCAAAAATTTTACAAAATCAGTAATTAAAAATTCTACTAATTCCAATCCAATTATGGAGTCACATCGTCTACTATAAAATCTACGTCATTCAGTTTTCATTTACAAAAACTATACAATTATACAACATTAAGTTTTTTTTTGTTGCACAACTGTATAAGGAGTTTATGCAGAAAATAAAAATTATCTAAAATTAAAATACACTAAGTGTTCGACTTATTTAATTTAATTTTGGCACGCTCTGTACAATTTGCGTTAATAATGCAGTGTTAAAGTGCTTTCAAAAAACGTTAAAAATAAGTAACATATATTAGATTATTGTAAATCTCTAAAATTATTTACAAATTTTATACAAGTTTCAATTACGTCCACTAAAAATTTTTGTTATACTATATCAAGTATAATTAATTTTTTTTCTTTTTGTTTTAACACTAATATATTAAGGACAAATTTTAAATAAGAGAAAAAGATTGCTATAGTTACAAAGCAAATTTACTTCCTTCTACACATATGGGAATTAGGTAAGACAATGGCGATAAAAAATTGAATTAAAACTTCTGGCACGAATTTTATTCCGAGATTTACAACAAAAATGTTTCAACTAGTTAAAATGCCGCTTAATCTTGGGATATGAAACATTGACACGTATAACATAGGTAATACAAGACGATGTGGACAATTCAATAGTTTGCAATGAACTGATAGAATAGACTCATTTTCTATTTACTTAGTGTGTTGTGTTTGCGTGTGGATAGGCCTCCTGTGCTTCCTAGAGAGGTGGGTTACAATCGATTTCCTAATCAATTGTAATAAGACTTAGCTGATAAACGGAACAACCAATCCTCTCTAGGCAGCCCATACTCATTACTATTTTATCATTTCTATCATGATATTATAATTTAGGTACAATCTTAATTATTCAATATTAATGAGAATATTAATAATTATGTTTTATTTTTTGCATGAATTAATTATAGATTGTAATTATAATTATTTTATAAAGTTTCTTACACTAAGAATCGTCAGACATGAAGGAATTTTGGGATTTTAACTCCTCCAATGTTTGAATTTGTTGACGGAGAAATAATATCCTAAAATATTTAAAAGAATCAATCGGTTTAATTTAATAGAATTTATAATTTTTATAAAATTTTAATACAACGATATATACCTTTGTTCCTGTAACGTCGCCTGAATTTCTGTCAGCCTCACTATCGATCGTGCTGTCTTTAACTCTGCCGATACTCTTGTACACTGCAAACTTCCCATTGTGTGTGCTTCTTCACTAAGTTTCTGTGCCTAAAAATAACAATTATTCAAATACTTTCCAGCATATCGTTTAATATTACGATATAATATCACTTTTAAAATACACAATTTTCAAAATAATTATATACCTGTTTTTCAAGAATATCAGCAGGAAAGGCACGCACGTGTTGCGTTAAATCTTCCCGATAGTGATTAGCAAGTGATGGTGTTAAGGAAGGTGTTAAAGGAGGCTGTACTCTAGACAATGCTTGTAAACCTGTATTATTTAAATTTCCAAGGGAACCTAATGTACTAAGATTTTGCAATGAGCTTAAACCTTGTACTCCAGAATTCGTCCCCCCAGGGCTTGTTACTGTGAAGAGAAAACAAATAGGAATTAATCATTAAGAGCTAATAATTATTATGAGTTCACTAAATACAAAAATTCATCGATTATTAACATACATTTTCGAGCATCGATACAATCCTGGGTTTCCGAATGTGTGGGAGTAGGTGGTCCTTCGCTTGTAACATTGCCGCTTGTATCAACTTTTAGCGGGACCATTACATCATTTCCACTATTATTTCGGTCCCCACTAGCTGACTGCTACACAAAAATATAATTGAATAATTTAATAATCACTACACTTTTTATGTAAAATTTTATGTAAAAATTTCTTATTTCAAAGACTAAAATAATTTAAAATAAATATACATTTTAAATTGTATATTTGTAAATGGAAATTCATAAAAGTCGAAATCTAATAATAATTTGATATTGAA